TCCATTGCTGTTGTTGCTGCAGCTCATATTCTATTGATTGTGGCCTCAGTTCAGCCATATTTGTGTAGGCGAGTTAGAGGCACTCCAAATAGTATTCCACGGCATACTTAAACATATCATTTCACAGATCTGGTAGCCAGAGGTAAATATTCTTTTTATTTATCTTGCAACAAATTTACTTGTGACATTTCAGCTTGAATAAATTATAAAGATTCAGCTTTTAGCAGTATTGATTATCACATATATTGTGAACAAGAGATGAATGTTAGCTTTTAACATTGTATATATTGGCTTTCTGCCCAGTTGTCTATTTAGTTGCTTTATAAGGAATGGCCATATGTGTCTCTTCCCACTTTGTAAGGGTACTGTTGAAATTTTCGCCATTTTAAGGTGGATTGCGCTCACTGACAAGAGAGCTGATCAGTCCCTCACATAGAGGGACTTTTCTTGTATGGGAATTAAAGTCCATGAAGCCACGGCCTGTCATAATCATTTTTCTTTGGAAGATGTTAGAAGAGTAGTGTTTTTGGTAGTAACACAATACTTTATTGTTTTACGTTTAATCTGTGTTGCACTTCTGACATGATTGTTCATTAGTTTATACTAGTTTCTTCAGGTTTTCCCTAGAACTGGCAAATTCAGCATTTAAGTGATAACTAATATATTACTGCTATTGAAATATAGTTTTGTAGGGGTGGGTTGTTAAACATTGTAATTAAGTAGTACTTACTGGTGACTATCACTAGATTTCTTTCTCCCATCCCACTCTGATGTCCTTAAAGTTTAGTCTAGGTTCAGCTTGAAGAGGATTTGTAATCTGCCATGGGATTTTGATATGGGAGTCAGACTGGATCGTTTCTTTATGTTCTGTGTTCTAAGCCAGAATAAAAGTGTTTCCTGTTGCACTGGTTTTAAAATTATAGTTGGCAGGTGCTTTTTTTATAAAAATTATTTATATCTAATGTGATTATTTTATCATGAGGGAATTTATGACAGTGTTAGGATCAGCAAAGGGATGGTTGGCTAACCTTAAACATTTGTTTTCTGCCTAATGGAAGGTTGGAAGAATGAGCTTAAACAAGGGGAGGCAAGTAAGGCAATAGTGTAAGGCAATAGTGACAGGTTAGTATTATATAATTCAATTCAGTGACCTCCTCCCAAAAACTTACATTTCAATGCTTGCCAAACATTTTAAGAAGAACTCTCAGTGACACCATTGTTTAATTTTACTGATCAACAAGAGCCTTGCTTACATCTTTCTTGTGACAGGGATAAAGGTTGCCAGTGTTTACATTAAAATTTGGTTTCATTTCTTCCAGGAATTTCTAACAAGTGCCTTTACAATATTGATACAAATACTGTTTGAAAAGCATTCATGTGATATAGATCAGTTTAATGTTTATACAGTTCAGTATAAGTTTCCACCTTATGGTCTGAGAAAACTTTGTGCTTGATGAGGGAATGATGTCGATATATTGGATATGAGAATGTGTTGAAATCAGCATACAGATGACAATCATTGGAGACACATTAGCGGCTTTCCATGGGAAAAGGATTTTGGTTTGGTATGGCTTTTTACAGCACAGCAGCACCAGTAGGTTATCTAGTGCTGATTTCATTGCAGTAATGTGATGTGGCCAATGATGTACTACCATGGTAGCTGACCATGGTTGATTCAGCTTTTTTGGATTCAAATCCAATCCCTTACGATCAGGAGTTTTGCATGTAAACCACTAAGGCACAACGGAGAAAGGAATCAACTTGTGTTAGATGTGAACATTGGCCATTTAAGATGTGAACATTGGCCATTTGATAAGCTAGTTTGATAGCAGTGTCAAATGTAGGTAGGACAAATCTTATATGTTTTAATTGTAATTTGTTTAATTCAGACCCAGATGACTATCAGAATCAGGGTTTAACTATATTTGGATACATGGAAGTTGGATCAGTTTATGTACCTATGGGCAGTGTTGATGCTGAAAAGTCAAAGTCAGGTTAAGAATAATGTAATAATCAATTGGTTCCTATTGTCTATTGCACCAGCTGACATTTGGAATACAAATATTTGTGGTGTGTCATGAATTGTGACAGCTGTGTAATTTTAGAGTCACTTTAGCTTTGTAAGCATTTGTGTTATATTGATCATGTAAGAGAAAGAAGTTGCAAAATTTTGAAGGGTGTTCTTTTTTGCTCTGTTGGAAGTGACAGGTATAGTAAAATCAATTTCAGATTTCTTAAATTAATTTGTATGAAAAACAATTTTCCAGTTAAATTATAATATATAACAACAGATTAAACAAGGAATACCTAACCTTTTGCAGGCAGTTTATCAAAATGGTGATTTAAAATTGTAAAATGGGCAACAAAAAGGGTTACTGGGCTTAAAATAAGGGAAGAAAATTGAACCTTGGCATTATGGGTAGGGTTCTATTACATATTATCTGAATTCTTGCAGACCCTAAGAGTCCTACAAATTTAAAAATCATTGTTGTAACCTTGAGCTAAAGGGAACATAACTTGGAAACCCTGGTGAAATTTGGTATCCTGGATAAGACAGTTTTACATGAAAGTGTTAGCTGTAGTACAATTAGAACATCCTTGTTTTTTTGAGTTGAGTAACTGTAAAAAAGAGACTCAAAGTAATAATTCAATTAGAACATCCTTGTCTTTTTGAGTTGAGTAACTGTAAAAAAGAGACTCAAAGTAATAATTCAATTAGAACATCCTTGTCTTTTTGAGTTGAGTAACTGTAAAAAAGAGACTCAAAGTAATAATTCATAAGGTTGCTGATGTTTTAAAGTATTTATTAGAATACATACATCCAGTAGTCTGATTCCAAAAGTGTTAATTTATTAGAAGACAGACATCCAGTAGTCTGATTCCAAAAGTGGTACTTTATTAGAATACATACATCCAGTAGTCTAATTCCAAAAGTGTTAATTTATTAGAAGACAGACATCCAGTAGTCTGATTCCAAAAGTGTTACTTTATTAGAATACATACATCCAGTAGTCTGATTCCAAAAGTGTTAATTTATTAAAAGACAGACATCCAGTAGTCTGATTCCAAAAGTGTTAATTTATTAAAAGACAGACATCCAGTAGTCTGATTCCAAAAATGTTACTTTATTAGAATACATACATCCAGTAGTCTGATTCCAAAAGTGTTTTTTTTTTATTAGAAGACAGACATCCAGTAGTCTGATTCCAAAGTGTTACTTTATTAAATGACAGACATCCAGTAGTCTGATTCCAAAAGTGTTACTTTATTAGAATACATACATCCAGTAGTCTGATTCCAAAAGTGTAAATTTATTAAAAGACAAACATCCAGTAGTCTGATTCCAAAAGTGTTTTTTTTTATTAGAAGACAGACATCCAGTAGTCTGATTCCAAAGTGTTACTTTATTAAATGTAAGACATCCAGTAGTCTGATTCCAAAAGTGTTACTTTATTGAAAGACAGACATCCAGTAGTCTGATTCCAAAAGTGTTACTTTATTAGAAGACAGATATCCAGTAGTCTGATTCCAAAAGTGTTACTTTATTAGAAGACAGACATCCAGTAGTCTGATTCCAAAGTGTTACTTTATTAAATGACAGACATCCAGTAGTCTGATTCCAAAGTGTTACTTTATTAGAAGACAGACATCCAGTAGTCTGATTCCAAAAGTGTTACTTTATTGGAAGACTGACATCCAGTAGTCTGATTCCAAAGTGTTACTTTATTAAATGACAGACATCCAGTAGTCTGATTCCAAAAGTGTTACTTTATTAGAAGACAAATATCCAGTAGTCTGATTCCAAAAGTATTTTTTTTATTAGAAGACAGACATCCAGTAGTCTGATTCCAAAAGTGTTACTTTATTAGAAGACAGACATCCAGTAGTCTGATTCCAAAAGTGTTACTTTATTAGAAGACAGACATCCAGTAGTCTGATTCCAATAGTGTTACTTTATTAGAAGACTGACATCCAGTAGTCTGATTCCAAAAGTGTTACTTTATTAGAAGACAGACATCCAGTAGTCTGATTCCAAAAGTGTTACTTTATTAGAAGACAGACATCCAGTAGTCTGATTCCAAAAGTGTTACTTTATTGGAAGACAGACATCCAGTAGTCTGATTCCAAAAGTGTTACTTTATTATAAGACAGACATCCAGTAGTCTGATTCCAAAAGTGTTACTTTATTAGAAGACAGACATCCAGTAGTCTGATTCCAAAAGTGTTACTTTATTGGAAGACATCCAGCTGTCCGATTCCAAAATTATCAAATTTTTGGAAGATAAACATGCAGATAGGTATGAATAATGGATCCTCACTTGCAGATTTTACTACTTTTAAGTCTTTAATTAAATTCCATCATTTATAACTTTTAATATAAATTCCTGAAAATGCAAAATTAAAATAATGGAGAAATCTTTGTTTTGAGTTTGTCATTATTATTGTTTACATTGCTATTAGTAATTACATATTAGTGAACCATGTAATGTCAGTGCATTATTGTGATGCAATAACAATGTACATAAGAGCAGTTAAAAATGATGACGGTTTTTGCCCAAATTTTGTTCTGGTATAAAGTCAAGAACATTATGAGTGGGCTGTAATACTTCCCTTTTTGAATGCTGTGAGTCATTGATGTTATTCTTCACTGTGAAATGTTATAGTTTGGAGAAAAATTAGTCATTCTTGAATATGCTAACCACAGTTAGATTTGATGGACTTTATATTTTCTGTCTCTTGCAATGCAGCTTTGATCTACATTATTTTCAGGACAAATTAAGTGTGAGTTTTAACGTAGTTTTTAAAAATTTTTCAGTTATATTGCTATAATGTTTGCAATGTAACAGTTTATAGTGATGTCTAGGACTGGGGCATCATGCCACAGACATGTCACCCAGTCACATTATTCTGTCACCAGGCTGACCAGTCATTAGCCTAACCTCTTAGTGCTAAGCGCCATGTGAGACAGCTGTTAGTACCATTTTTGAAAGTCTTTGGTATGACTCAGTTAGGGGATTGAACCCTTAACCTCCTGCATCCGAGGCAGACGCTCTAACTGCTAGGCCACTAGAGTGGTCAGGACAAATAATAATATTACCAAGTTAAAGTGTATAACTTTGAATCAAAATTCAAAATATTTAGCAGTCATTATTATTAGGATTAAAAGTAGAGTACACCATAAAAAAGAGAACATCTTGAATTATTGTTTTATTCTAAATGCTTTCAAATTTTCATTTTCTTATATTATCTAAATAGACTCTTAGAATTTGTAAATCATATTTGAAATTAAGTTTAAACAGCATTTGCTTCACAATGTTGAGTGTAGAAAAATAAAAGCCAGAACAAAAGTAAAATATGTGCAGAACAATGCAAACTACATGCCAGCAGGAATGTCTCCTCTTGAGGCAAGAGGTGTTATGCTGTTCATTGTAGTACAAATAACCAGGACAGGTGCTTTAGGGTGTAACACAGGTGTGCATTATATATCTAGTAGAGCTCAGTCTTTTTAACAACATCCCTTGAATGCAATTTGGAGGTAAGCTGATCAGATACCAATAGCACTGTTGTACTGTAAAAATGTGGGTATTATGCACTTATGTTAAAAAAAATTTCACATGAACCTTTCAGTAGTTTGTAACAAAAATGAGCATTGGTGCATGTGGAAAAAAGGATTATATCTAATGCATCATATTTGTTTGTTTGATGGTTAATCTTTAACTAATTCAGAAATATTATGCCTTGTCTACCATCATCAGTAGTAGTCAGATTGATTAACATCAAAACTTTACAAATAGTTGCAGCATGACAGATTGCAGTATCAGTAAGTGCATATAAAAAAGCACATACAGCCTTAAGTAATTTGAAAAAAAGTGAATTGGATTGTTATCCATATTTTACAGCATATGTTTTATTGGCTTATTATCCATGTTTTAAAGTTTGTATATACAGGCTTGTTAACAGCATTTTACAGTGTGTATATTCTGGCTTGTTATCCACATTTTACAGCATATGTGTATTAACTTATGATCCACATTTTGTAGCATATGTGTATTAACTTATGATCCACATTTTGTAGCATATGTGTATCAACTATGATCCACATTTTACAGCATATGTGTATTATGATCCACATTTTACAGCATATGTACCTGATGATGCTAGTCATTAATTTACTAAGGTATTCTATACTTTATGGAATCAGTTGATCAATAGTTCATTCTTTGTCTTTGTTAAAGGTAATTATTTTCCAGTTCCTCTGCATTATGTTACAAATGTTGTCAAATCAACCAATTAATGGTGTCATTTTTATAGCATGGAGATTTTATTCTGCATCAGGTTGTAGTATAGGTTTGCATTTTTTACATGGTATAGAACATGTTACTTTATACCTGGTGTTTGATATTATTGACTACAAGTAGTCTGTAGGTGACAGGATCCTCTTAGGTTTTTACCTGTATAAATTATTTTCTTTCAACTCAAGGCTGTTGTGCATTGATTTGGTTTTTTCCTATATAAATTATTTTCATTAAACTCTTGGGCATTGATGCTTTCAAGGTGTTTGCTAGTTTTGTGCTGTGATACAGTGAGATAGACTCTGTACAGATGATAGATTATTTTTATTGTTTTGCCTGGCAAGGCATAGGAAATGTAAGCCAAGGTGTAGGAAATGTATACATTCCTATTATTAACAATGTATGTAGAGAGTAGATCTTGTTTTCTTAGATTTTTATCTAATTGCTACAGGGAAGTTTGCAGTGTTCTGTGGTTTTCTTTTCATGCCAGTATTTTCTTTGCCTTTCCATCAGCTTTGTTACTCAAGTAGAAAATCTTTCAATACATTTATTATTTAGCCTGGTTAAGTAAAGAATTCATGCAAAATATCTAATTACATATGACATAGTGGTCCATGCATATACTGGTTGTATCCATTGGCATAAAAAAAGAAGGTCAGGTATGATAGTAAGTCCTCTTTAAATATTGGCTTTTGAATATTAAGATTTACTTTGTAGCTTTATGATATAGTCAGTAAGATGTCATTTCTTACCTCATGGTGGCTATGGGAGGAATAATTGGAAGTAAGATGACCTCATAATGTCTCATGAAACAATACAATTTTTTTTTAAACAGAATTTAAATAATTGAAAGAACAGTTTTTTTTTTAAAAAGGATCAAATCAGCAAAACGAGTATGCCAGCTTGGAAAATCACTAACTGTTTATGACACTTGCAAGCTCAGTCTGAATTTTGATGTGATGTCAATCAAACAGTATCACAGTAACAAATTTCACCAACCAATATAGACTTTTGTTGATGTTAGAGGAATTTGTTGAAATTGGATGAAATTTTTTAAATGCTGATTCAGCTATTGTTTTGTGAAAATTTCATTATAGGACACTGTTTCCATTAGTTTTGTGTGATCACCAATATTAAATGTACCTAAGTATTGCAGTAGATGTAGATCACCGGATATATTTTTAAGTGATTTGGAATCACTTTGATCCATAGGTAATACAAATTTGTCAAAAAGTTATTTATTCCAACTATAAATATACTGTATTTACATGTTTCATTAACACCCAGTTGAAAAAAATAGGACCTGAGCTGCTATTGCATGACCAACTGGTACCAGTTGTTCTATGTCCATACAATGTATGGAGAAATAAAAGGAACATTTTCTCAGGCTTTCCAAGAAAAGGAGCCTGTAAGGCCAAATTGGTTAAATTTATAGGGACTTTATAAATCTTTGGGACCTTGTCTTTTATTTTATCATGTCCATGTACTGAATTTATTATGATAATGTGATTTTGTTAAATGTCCAGCCTGTACCATGGATATGATGTTAAAGCAGGACTGGGTGTCCACTACATAAGATGAGCACCTGATTTTAATGCAGTCATATTTGGCTTTATAGCATCTATCACTCATCATAGGAATCAGATGTCTAATTATTAATTGAACAGGGTACCAGTCCAATTTTGGTGAGACAATGAATGCTGCACTTAACACTTGGTTATAATATATTTGTGGAATTTTCAGATTTTAATTGTGTGAGGCTTTTATCACAAGTCAAGTTCTGCATAGATTTTTCATGTACACAATTTCAGTGTTTTCCTTCAGGCTAAATTATGTTGTGCCAATCAGGTGCAAAACTGATGGTAAAAATTGCATTGATTGCATTGATTGCTACCCTGTTTTAGAGACATTTATGTAGAGAAAATGCAATGAAGCGCATAATTTTCGTAGTTCTTGAAGGTTTCTTCATTCAAAAAGTACAGCACATTGTACTGTGTACTGGGTTATTGGTTGCACAATGCAGTTTTTGAAAACTTTGATGTTTATGTCCTTGGAAAATGAATTAAATATCTGATCTTGTATTGCTTTGCAGACACAAACCAGGCTGGTATAAATTTCATACCTGAACAAACAAATATAATGGTGGTATTTATAGGAGGTTTAGCTGGATGGCTGTGATCCTCACATGTACTGGGTCATAAGGTCAAATCAAAATACCACATTTACATCCTTTGGATTCACTACTATTTATTACCTGCAAGTATATTGCTACTATTTATTAACTACATGTACCTGCAAGTATAATGCTACTATTTATTAACTACATGTATCTGCAAGCATACACATGTGTAGCAATATGTGCTCAGTTCTGCATTGCAAGGTACTTCCAGTGCTCTTTCACATTAAATGATATTACATAAATTGTATGTTGTTCTAATTCTTAGTTTTTCTTTGCCTTCTTTTATTTCCATACTGTTTCAAAACCCCATTTTTACCAAACCATACAAAACAGTTAAAAAATATTAACCCACACTATCTTGCTGCAAATACATAAGACACAGCTATCATTTATGGCAAAAATTTCTCTTTTTGATATTTTGTAAAAAGGTTTTATTATCATGTACAAGAAATACTATATCAAATCCATTTATTGCATGAATATAGACTATATTATTATTATTATTATTATTATTATTATTATTATTATTATTATTATTATTGTTGTTGTTGTTGTTGTTATTATTATTATTATTATTATTATTATTATTATTATTATTATTATTATTATTATTATTATTATTATTATTGGTATGTGAGAAGGTTTGTCTTATTGGTTTTTTTCAGGGTTTTTCCAGGTTCTTACTCCACTAGTTATGCTGGCCACCATGTATGACTTATCATGTGCTAAAAAATTGCATTAAACCCACATGAACATCATTTTTCATCTTTTTCTTCATCATCATCATCTCATCATCATCTTCTTGTAGTAGCTTGTAGTTTTCATGTGTGGGTGGGTGACAGCTAATTTGGGGAATTAGCTTGTAGAGCAAACAAAACAAATGTCTAGGCTACATATTTCTTTAATGGTTACTTTTCACTGTCTCCAACTTCCCATTCAATGCGATGAGAAGAATATAGTCGCATATGCACGGAGTGCTTCGCAACTGGTTTGGGTCTTGGGTTGGACCGGAGGTCCCTAGGGGCGCTCCAAGGTTTGTAGACCTTTGACCATTGTGATTCCCTACTGTTCCTAGCTGTGAAAAATGGCCAAATCTTGAAGCTTTGGCAGGGGCCAGAAAGACTGGTGACACCAAGCCACATGGGTAGGTTCCGGGGGCTACACCCAGTGCATCACTTAGCCATTCTCCAAGGTTTGTAGACCTTTGACCATTGTGATTCCCTACTGTTCCTAGCTGTGAAAAATGGCCAAATCTTGAAGCTTTGGCAGGGGCCAGAAAGACTGATGACACCAAGCCACATGGGTAGGTTCCGGGGGCTACACCCAGTGCATCTCTTTGTTGTCTCTGGTCCCAGTGGTAGTGTATGTCCATATTCATTGGTGTTGCTGGTTCCAATGTCAGTGTGTTCCCCTGGTCTGTGTGGTCAGCAACCACAATGGATGTAGTTGAAACAGCAAGGCCAATGTTGGTTGAATTGTGTCCAGTTGTACTAATGGACCTTAATATACCAATGTTGTGTAAGCCACCTGAGGAATTTATCCAAAAATAGAGTTGTAAAGTTAGAATGTTAGTTTTGTTGTACTAGTTTGAATTTTGTGTACCCTC